ACTCCAATGTTTTTCTTCTTCTCCTTCTCCTTTGGTGTCTAGTCAATCTTGTCGAGGTCCACCTCATCTTCGAGCATCATTTCATGTGTGAGGAGTGACCCAATTAGCTCTTCAAGAGTTAAGGACGTTAAGTCCTTAGACTCGATGATTGCCGTCTTCTTTGATTGCCACGATTTTGGGAGGGAGTAGACTAACTTCCTCACAAGCTTTTGATTTGAAATGATCTCTCCATATGATTTGAGACCATTGACAATCGTTGAAAATCTATCCGTCATAGCTTTGATATCTTCATTTGGTTTCATCATGAAATTTTCATAGCTATGCGTTAGAATACTAATTTTAGATTTCTTTACCTCATCGGTACCTTCATAAGTGACTTGAAGTTTGTCCCATATTTCTTTGGCGGTTGTACACGATGAAACTCTTCCGTATTCATCTGGTCCAAGAGCACAAAAAATGATATGGATGGCTTTGGAGTTGAGCTGGAACATTCTTGTCTCTCCTTCACTCCACAACCTTGGATGAGTGAGAGGTTTGATGTATCCTTCTTCTATAGCATTCCATGCTCCCATGTCACTTGCTTGAATGAAGTACATCATTCTATTCTTCCAATAGGCATAGTTAGCTCCATTGAAGAAAGGAGGCTTGTTGACGGGCATCGAGTCGAGATCGGAGTCGAAGTTTGAAGCGGAGGCCATTGATGACTTTGATTATCGATATAACTCTTCCCGAATCGACTCAAGAGGCGATTAAACCTTCAAATGAGTTAGGCTCTGATGCCAATTGATGAGTTAATCGATTGACGAATATGGCAAAGAGGGGGGTGAATTGGCAATTAAAAAATTTGGTGGAAGCTTTTACAGAAAATTGAAAGAAATTGCACAACGATTTAGAGTGGTTCGACTTTATCAACTAAAGTCTACGTCCACTACCTTAGCTATCCACACTAAGGATTTTCCAACAAATTCACTAATTTTTTATTTCTTTTGAGGCCAAAGAGATAACCTTACAACTCCCTCAAGAATATACCCCAATTCTTGAGAACACTCTTTTCTCAAAGAGAAATACAAATTTGCAAACTTACAAGAAAAACCTCACAAGGCAAATATGTTTGCACAATTCTAGAACAAAGAAAGAACATTCAAGAATAAATACAATTGAGCACAATAAGTGTTCTTGAAAGCAAAATGAATATTGAATGAAAAATAGGCTTGAAATGCTCAAACTTGAGGTTTGATGCTTTCTCTTTTATTCTCTCTTGATTCTAATTGCTTGATATTTCTTGTTCTTGATCAATGGCTTCTAAGCTTGCTTAAATAAACCTTGAATCACTTCTGAACGTTGGGGATGATTAGAGAAAATAATATAGCCGTTTTAGTGTGAAAACAATTAATAAAACTGTTTGGAGCGTGGGGGGAATAGGTACCCCCTGGGGGGAATCGGTTCCCTCCGAGCATTCTGGAAATCTTGGAGCCAAACCATTCAGGGGGAATCGGTACCCCCTTAGGGGGGAATCGGTTCCCTCTGAGCAATCTGGAATTTTTGGTTTTGAAATGGTTCGAAATACTTTGTAAAATTATTTTGAAATTGTTTTAAGATTAAAACTTAATTTTACACTTTGAGTAAGGATTAAAAATGATATTTGAAAGATTTGGAGTAATGTTTTGATATTCGAATAATTCTATCGAATATACTTAGAAAATCATTTGGAAAATCTTAAAATTCATTTAACTTAATTTGTTATATCGAAATATCAAAATGTTTTCAACAGTGATGTCCTTCTTGACTTTCTCTTGAAGATGAGTCAATCTTTTAGTGAAGTCCTTCTTCACTTTCTTGTGAAGAGGAGTCAATCTTTTAGTGTTGTCCTTCTTGGCTTTCTCGCGAAAAGAGGTTAACCTTTTAGTGATGTCATTCTTGACTTTCTCATGAAAAGGAGTCAATCTTTTAGTCATGTCCTTCTTGACTTTCTCGTGAAGAGGAGTCAATCTTTTAGTGATATTTAATATACTTATTATATATTAAATATTAATATTTATTATTATTATTATTATTATTATTATTTACTTATTATATATTAAATATTTAATATACATTTTTTACAGGCCCATATTACATGTTACAAGGACCTAAACTAGGCCCAAACCATATTACAATCGGTCCAAACTTGACCCATTCATTTTAGGGTTTTTAAAACCCTAAATCATATTCTTCTCTAACCCTACTCCTGCCACCATCGCCCAAGTCTGGTGTAGTTTCTGACACCAGCCACTGCCAGTCGATTACCTCAATTGTCCTGTTCTACCATATCAATCAAATTATGAAAGAAAAAATCGTTAAAAATAAAAAAAATCTACAAAAAATCCAACAAGAATCTATCACCATAAATCAAGGGGATTTTCAACAAATAAAAGGAGAAGATGGAGGAACTAGATCGAAAAAAGATAAGAGAGAAGATTCAGGTAGGAAAAAAAAGGGAGAATAGCAAGGAGATCGAGAAGAATGTGACAGTACAAACCCGAAGAAAAAAAGAGAAAACATTTGAAATAAAGAAAAAAGAGAGAGAAAGATGAAAAAATAAAATGAAGAAAAAGAAGAGACAACGAAAAAGAAAAGAAAAATAGAGAAGAATACTTGTCTTGCTCTTCGTAGGGGAGGAGAGGGGCTGGCGGAAAACATAAAACCTGAAGAGTATTTTGTAGATATGCGACGTTTAGGGCACTTTTAGACCAAACAGAGTATGGATCCTTGCTCGGGGCGAGAAGGGCTTTCGAATGGTGGTTTTCTATTCTTCCTTCGACGCTGGCGAAAGGTTGTCAGAGTTAATCCACGGTGGTCGGCAAGAACTCTCATTGGGTTCTTGACAACAGAGAGAAGGGAGAGAGTTTAAGAAAGAAAAAGAAAGGAAAAAGAAATAGAAAAAAGGAGAAAAGGGCCTTATATAGGCCACATAAAACGAAGTCGTTTAAAGAGAGAGGTTCTGCGCACCTGTAATGAGATAATCACGCGAGGAGTCATCCAATGTTTGTAACCTCTTTATTTTAGTCACCAAATGTGTATTTATGTTTATTATGTTTTAAGATTTAAATTTTGTGATGCTTATGATTTAGTCCTCAGTCGTTTAACCTTGTTACTTAGCTAATATTATTGATTTGGTCTGCTAATTTGTGATCACTTCATTTTGATCACTATCTGCATGCTTTGGGTTATTTTTATGTCTAATTCTTGATTATTTATCCCTTAGTTTAATTTATTGTTGTATATATTTAGTTCTTATATTTAGTTCTTTGTTTTATCTTAGCCCATATATGGTATATATGTGTTTAATGGATTATAAGTATTAAATATTAAAATTAGGTATTATAGTATTAAATGTACATATATATATATATATATATATATATATATGTATATTAAAATGAATTTCCTTAAAATTGTTTTAAAATACATTTTTAAGTATTCGACCTACCTAACCCAAAGGTTGATGTCGACTCTAAATTTTAAATTAAATAAAAAAAATCTAATTTTCTCAAAATAAAGTCATAATTATTTTTAAATTTGATTTTTTCGTAAAAAATGGTTATGACAAAACTCAAATGTCACATTTATATTTTTCTAAAAATTTTATTTTAAAAAAAAGTTAAAAGCATTATTATTTTAAAAAAAACTCATTTTTTTAAAATTTGAGCAAAAAGTGTAATTTTTATTTCAATATTTAAAGTATTTTTTTCAATAAGCTTTTTTTCGTCTAAGTAGAAATATTTTAAGTCGGAATATATATTTTTTAATAACTTAAAATATTTTTAATTGATATCACAATATAATTTTAAATATATAGATGAAACAATAACATATTTTAAATATTTATTTTTACTAAAAAATATTTTATGCATCACTATAAATTAAAAAGTACAATAATAATAATAATAATAATAATAATAATATAATAATAATAATAATAAAATAATAATAATAATAATAATAATAATAATAATAATAATAATATTAGGGTAAATATAAGATAATAATTGTTTAAAGATTTTAATCTTTTGATAATGAAACGTTTATATCCCCGCGTACACAGTGTTTGATCCGAGACCTCAAGAATAAAAATAAATTTTCTTAATTATTAAAGTTATTTGATTCGTACAAAAATAACATATATTAAATATATACTTTGAAAAAAACTACTTAATATAAATATTCAATCACGATATCTGCATAAATATATAAATATTCATTATTAAAAGGATAAAAAACATTTAAATATCGTTCAATTTGGAATCTAAAACCAAAAGCACAAAACGCAATTAATTGGGTGGGCCATCATCAGTTTCGATGTATCAGTCCCCTAAACATAATCGACTATACAATCCTTTGCCCCAAAGTAATCAACGGTTTGGATAGAATTGAACTAGATTCGATTCCTTAATCACCTTAGTAAAGTACGTGACCTCATATTATTGGAAAAAAAACTTATACACGAATTACATGATCAATTTATAAATTTTATACAATATTAATGACTAATAACACTATATATAAAGTCATTAAACGACTTCAATAATTAAAATATTTATTCTTTTAAAAACCTTTTCACTAATTATATTTATAACGTATGTATATTATTAATAATTTAAAAAAATTATAAATAAATACTATATATATCATTCTCTAATAACAATAATAAAAAAGTATAAACTTATTTAAATATTAATTGTAATTCTTAACACTTTTTCTCTTCGTCAAGTATTTAAATTTAATCTTAGGATGAAAATAATATTTTAAATAGTTATTTTACTCATTTTTATTTGATAAAAACAATGCATCAAATATTACTTCATTATTAAATGGTATTAAAGTCCCGAGTCGTGAAGCAGTTGCGATAAGAATGAGTAAAAAGTCAAGGAAGTTTCTTATTGGCTAAGTTATAGGTGAGGCTATAAACCCAAAACGAAAGGGCAACAATATCAACTTGGTATTGAAAATTGAAACAGAACAAAAAAAAAAAAAAGGGGAAAAAAAAGCTTCCGCCACAAGGAAAGGAACTCTTGGGCTTCCGTTCCGTATTTACTCGCTAACTATTTTAGCCTCTTCTAGGATTTGGGGTTTCTTTAACCTCTCCATTTCTTCTTTCATTTGCTGTTATTTTTCTTCTCATAAGCAATGGAATCAAATCTCGTCATCAAGGTTCGTTCTTTCATCTCTCTATTTTTTAAAAAAAAATCCTTCGTTTTTTTATTTTATTTTTGTTCTTAATATTTTCTCTGTTTCCTCACGGAAAAAATGTGACCTGTTCGTTTGTTCCCCAATTCTTAGATTGATTATGTCCGTATTGATGGTGTTGCTTATTTTGATTTGTGATTGGCACGTACAATGAAGGCTTTTGCCTTAAGTTTCTGAGTTGATTTCAAGAATATCCGTCATGGACATGTGATAATTTGATTGTCTTTTTTTAGATTGAATTCATGGTTAACCCTAATTGTATTTGTTCCTTTTGATATCTTTCAATTTATTTCTTGGTTTCCTGATTTTAAGATGTTGCCAATACTTGATTGTAATAAGATGTTTGAACATGATACTTTGTTTATGTTAATGTTTATTAAATTTATTCTTTAGGCTCCTTGTCCTTTTCTTTTTTCATGTAAATGTTATGGATGCAGGTTATGTACGGCGATACTCTAAGGCGTTTCAATGCTTCGATTGTTGATGGTGGACGCCTGGATCTTAATATTGATGGACTGAGGGAAATAATTATTGGGCTCTTTAATTTTCCTTCTGATACTCAACTTAGTATGACATATATTGATGAAGATGGGGATATTGTTACCCTCGTTGATGATGATGATTTGTGTGATGTGATGAGGCAACGCCTTAAATTCTTGAGGATTAATGTGCAGTCCAATAAGGGAAAGCTCGACAAACCTCACGCTAGAACAAGTGGTGGTTCTACTCCCTTAAGATCCCCATCTGTTCAGCCTCCATTGCCAACCTTTAATAGTGATGCTACTGATGTAGTGAATTCTGTTCCGATGCATATTCGTGATGCGCTAAATGAAGTTTTCTCAAAGCTTTCAGTTGAAGTTGCTTCAAAAGCTGCATCTGCTAGTCCATTGTTGGGTGATCTGGTGGAATCCTTGTCGAAGGTGGGACAATCCTATCTGAGTCCTGCTTCCCAATCTGGAGTTGTTGCTGATTCAACCAAGCCTGTTGGATCTCCTGATAGCCCTGCTGCACCATCTGCTCCAACATGTCCGGATGGTAATTTACGAACATCTTTATCAAAAGTTACAGCTGTTGATTCAAGTTCCAAGGCTAGAAAGGAATCCAACACTGGAAATGCATCAAGGGATGTGGATGGTACTGTTATTTCTGGTCCAGTTGCCGTTGATTTGAATACTAATCCTCATGCTGCTAACCTTACTAGATATTCTACCTTGTCATCTGGACCATCTACATCGAACATTTTTACTCATACTGATAAGAAAAACATAAAGAAGAACAATCGTCGTATCAAGGGGAAGAGCATTAGCATTGACACATCAACTCCTTTCCTTGATACTGCAAGGAGACATTATCCTTCAAATGAATGCCCCTTCAGTGGAGTGCCTGTACCAAATGACGCCAATGTGCCTCCATATTCATACAATCCCTTTAGTCCAAGTAAAAGTAGCTTTGCTTCGACTGATGGAAATGGTATGTTTAATACATTCCACAAGGGAATTCAATGTGATGGTTGTGGGGTTCTTCCCATCACTGGACCTCGGTTCAAGTCCAAAGTGTAAGAAGTGTTACTAAGCACTTATCATTGCTTTTTCAATTTTTTTTTTATTTTGTTACTCACTGAACTTGAAAATGCAGGAAAGACAATTATGACCTCTGCAGCATCTGCTTTTCTAAAATGGGAAAGGAATCTGAGTACATGAGAATGGACAAACCTCAACATTACCGGCATCCATGGTGGTTTAGGGCATCAAATAATCACGTAATTTTCCTTAACTGTTGTCTTCTCTATTGTTCTGTACTTTTCAGTGACGTTGGATGTGTGTTCTCATTTATAGTTTCAAGGGGTTGGTCCAGAACTCCCGCGTGTCTTGAGGAATCGTGTACTAAAGTTAGCTTGGCCCAGACTTGAAAGTCACTTTGTCTTCGATGTCAATGTACTTGATGGGACTGTAATGGCTCCATCTACACCATTTACAAAGATCTGGCGGATGCACAACAATGGTACTCTGCCTTGGTATCGTGGGATGCAACTTGTATGGATTGGGGGAGACAAGTTAACAGATGCAATCTCAGTTGATTTAGAGGTGAATTGTCTATCTTTTTGCATTAATTGCAATTTGATGCTACATGTGTACCCAGTGACCAGTGACTACATAATTCATTGATGTGCATAATTATTTGTTGGTATTCCCGACTCATGACAGATTCCTGCTGAGGGTGTGCCTCTTGATGGGGAACTGGATATTGCTGTTGATTTTACTGCACCGGAGGTTCCTGGTCGATATGTTTCTTACTGGAGGATGGCATCTGAATCTGGCATGAAGTTTGGACAACGTGTTTGGGTTCTCATCCAGGTAAGTCATGTATTTTATAAGAGATTGATTTTCTTTTAGAGGCATTAGTCTCTCAAAAGTTTAGTCACATGATTGCAATTTCTCAATGCAGGTTGATGCTTCCCTGAAGGGTTCAGTTGATGATAACCTTCATGGTTTGAACTTGAATTTGCCTCCTGAAACCAGTGTCCCAAAAGATACTGAGATCGTGGATATGAATGTTGATCTTATCACAGAGCCTTGGAACTCTAATGCAACCCATGTGCCGGTAAGTTCCATGGGTGGTGAACAGTCAACAAAGGAACAGCTAGTGAACAACAGTGATGTCCCACACCCTGTTCCCCCATCTTCAGTTGTTACTTATCCCTTAATTGATGATGGAGATGTTGTAGTATCTGTTTCCCTACCACCTACACTATCTTTATCCGAGGAGTATCCCATCAGTGACAAAGGCGTCTCAGCCCCTGCTGTTCCACAAACATCATCTTCATCTGTGTTTTATCCCCAAATCGATTTCTCAGAAGCTGCTCCTGTAGGACCCTATCAAGTGCCACTCTCAATCAGCAAACAAGCAGCTACTCAAGAGGAGAGTGAAAACACTGTTGAGCAGACTCTACTTAAGGAACTTGAAGACATGGGATTCAAGCAGGCTGATTTGAACAAGGATATTTTGAGGAGGAATGAATACGATCTGGAGAAATCTGTTGATGATCTTTGTGGGGTGTCTGAATGGGATCCGATCCTCGAGGAGCTGCAGGAAATGGTAAATTGTCTGCAAAATATGTAGACTTGCTTCGTCTTTTGTTTTTGTCTTTTTTGTCAATAACATTGGTTGTTGGTGTTGGGTGCAGGGTTTCTGTGATGCAGAAGTAAACAAGAAACTGCTGAAGAAGAACAATGGAAGCATCAAGGGAGTTGTTATGGATCTTCTAACTGGAGAAGGTGCTTAAATTATTATGGATGGGGGCCTCTTGGTTTCTTGGCTTTTTATTATATATAAATAAATCAAGTGTGTATCGAAATCTTGTCAATGTGAACTGCTGCTTTTAGTTTTTAGTTTCGGGGGTGCTTTATGCCTTCTTTGTCATCTCTTAAGTGATCATATTTTGCAAATAACCGGCTGTGAACATATTGCTGTTAATATTTATAAGCCTCAACTACTTGTATATGTTATTCATTATGAGATGCGTTTATATCTGTCATATATGCCGTGAGAAAAAAAGTCAAGATCGAGGGAAGTAAGCTCATTATACCAATTTGGAAATTTAATTGTTTGTTTGGTTGTACAAAGTATTTTATGTTTTTGTTTTTAAGATATATGTTTTATTTTCAGTTTTTTTTTTCAAAATTTAGAAAACATATCTGGTTAATATAATGAAATCTTAAATTCAAAAATTAAGATAATGAAAATGTATGTAGTATCTAATTTTTAAAATAAAAAATATATATAAATAGTAACATTTAATTATTAAAACATTACTACATAAAATGAAAGTGTGAATTATGTAAATATAAAATAAAAAAATTGATACAAAATTTCATAACATAAAAATTATTTTAATTTGTAATAAAAATATAAAGTTAGTACATATTGGAAATCAATTAAACAAAAAAATATATAAAAATGTTATTGTAAGTAATACCATATAAAAGTGTTGTTAAAATTAAAAATGTGTTTAGTAATATTTAAAGTCTCAAACTTGGGGGACTAGTGGCATATGAACATTTTTGCATTAAATGTGACCTATAATATGAGAGAAAAAAAGAAATTAATCTAATCCTTTGACATTTAGTATTAAATATTGACTTTCACAATATTTGATAGTTTACAAAGTTTACATGGTAATATACAATATTTATGTAATAGTTTATAATAGACGATGATTTGATAAATTAGCTTACTTGCTTTTGCCCAAGTTTAAGGTCCAATTAATCTTTTCAGAAAGTTTGACAACTTATTTAAATTTTTTAAAAATCTAATAAATTATTTAAATATAAAATATAAAATACAAACATTTATTAAGATTCAATACTTTAAATACGAAAATACTATAAAATTAAAAATTATTTAAAAATCAGTTTAAGGATCATTTTAGTTAAAAATAATCAGGGACCATATTGATTTTTTTTTATAAAAGTTTGAGAATTTTAGGGACCATTAAGTAAAAAATTGTTGTTGGAAGGATTCAAATTCATATAAGTTAAGTTAAAAATCAAGATCTCTTATTTTCCAATTTTTTAATTTTCTAAAATAAATTTAATGAAAATACCGAAAACATATTTTTTTTATGTTTTCATATTTTCACTTATTTTTGTTTTCAGTTTCTAGAAATTATTTTCTAATTCAACAATCAAATATATTTTCTTCAACATTATCTATTTTCTAGGAAAATGAAAATGAAAATGAAAATAGGATATATTTCCTAAAACCAAATGGATACAATCGCAATTTTCCAAATGGATATACCATTAACCACCTAATTATTGCCTCTTTTTACTTAGACCACCAATCTTTTAATTTTCTCAATCATGACATTAAATTATTTAAATGCAATCAATCAAGCCACTTGCCATTCCGGAGAAGTTGACGTGAAAGTTAAAAATTTTGGTATAGTTATACATTTGATCACTATTATTTATATATTCTATAAATTTGGTTTTAATTTCAATAAATTAAAATAAATTTAATCATCGAATCAGATGGTGTCACGTGTCACCAATATCAATTGTAACAATATTTGATGCCATTCAATTTATTTTTCACTAATTAAAGGATAACACATGTCAACCTTGGTGGAAAGAAAATTAAAATTCTAAAATGGGGAACAAGGGATTCAAACCTAAATTCCTTGGGTTATAAAGGATAAGCTCAACCATTAAAATAAATTTATTTCTTGGTTTGAAGTAGACTACAAATGGTATATATGTTCTATATTAATGTAAACTTAAATTTTTAACTATTTGTTTATTAATCAGGGCAAGTACAAGATAATATATGTTCGATGATAGTTCAGCTATTTGACATTGAATGCTCACACCTCTGATATTCATGGTGCTCGAACCCAGGATCTCAAGAAATAACAACAAATCCTTTATCATCGAAGTCACTTGGTTCGTTCTATATCAAAATTATATATTTTATATATCTTAACTTAAATTCAAATATTAAATTAAATTTACATCTTAATATTAGAATTATATATTTTATTTGTATTTTAACTTATTAAATATATTTTATTCTTATCTTAACTTAAAAATATATTTTATTCTTATCTTAACTTATTAAATATATTTTGTTCTGACCCTAACTTAAATTTTTTATATTTTATTTTTATAATACTTTAAAATTAAGATAAAACTAAAATATATATTTTATATTTAAGATAAAAATAAAATATATTTTTGTAGTTAAGATAAAAATTTAATATATTTTTAAATTAAAAATAAAATATACATTTTCAAATTGAACTAAAACTAAAAAAAATACATTTTTAAGTTAACATTAAAATATATATATTTTAAGGTCAAATAAGAACAAATTATATTTAATAGTTTAAGGTAAGAATGGAATATATTTAATAATTTAATTTAAGAATATAATATATTTAATAAGTTAAGATAAAAATATATTTTTAATGTTAAGATATGAATTTAATTTAATATGTGGATTTAATTTAAGAAGTATAAAATATTAAAAAAAATTAAGTTTACACTAATATACAACATATATATCATATGTAGTCTATTTCAAACCATGAAATTAACTTGGCTCAATGGTTGATCTTCTACTTTATCACCTAGAACCTAGGTTTGAGCCCCTTTGTTGAAAACATTTTGATATTTCGATATATCAAATTAAATGTTATTGGATTTTAAGATTTTCTAATCATTTTCAAATATATATTCGATCAAACTATTCGAATCTCAAAATATTACTCCAAGTTTTTCAAATGTCAATTTAAATCCTTACTCAAGTGTAAAAGTGTGTTTTAATCTTTTAAACAATTTTACAAAGTATTTCGAGCCTTAATCGAGTCAAAAATATTTTGTTAATAAATCTTAAACCGAAAAACTAGATTACCCAGAGGGTACCGATACCCCCAAAAGGGTACCGATACCCCTATGTTAGATTTGGCACAGAGAAATTACATATTGCTCGGAGGGTACCGATACCCCCAGTCTTATAACAGTCGAAATATTTGAATTTTACACTGCAGGTACTGATACCCTATGAAGGGGTACCGATACTCCCCACGCTCGAAGTTGTTTTATTAATTGTTTTCACACAATAACAACTCTATTGACTCCACTAATGATCCCCAACGTTCAGAAGTGATCAAAGGAGTATTTAAACAAGCTTAAAAGCCATTGATCAACAACAATCATCAAGAATCAAGAGAGAATCAAAGAGAAATCATCAAACCTCAAGTTTGAGCATTTTCAAGCCTATTTCATTCAATATTCATTTTTGCTTTCAAGAACACTTATTGTGCTCAATTGTATTATTCTTGAGTGTTCTTTCTTTCTTCTAGAATTGTGCAAACATCTTGCCTTGTGAGGATTTTCTTGTAAGTTTGCAAAATTTGTATTTTCTCTTTGGGAGAGAGTGTTCTCAAGAATTTGGGGTATAATTCTTGAGCGATTTGTAAGGTTACTCTTTGTCCTCAAAAGAAAGACAGATTAGTGAATTTATGGAAAATCCTTAGTGTGGATAGCTAAGGTAGTGGACGTAGACTTTGGTTGAGAAAGTCGAACCACTCTAAATCGCTGTGCAAATATTTTCAATTTTCTACAAAAGCTTCCACTGAAATATTTATTGCCAATTCACCCTCGCCTCTTGGCCTATTCCGTCGATTGATTAACTCAACAATTGGAATCAGAGCCTCACTCATTTGAAGGTTTAATCACCACTTGAGTATATTCTAGAAGAGTTACATCAATAATCAAGTCATCAATGGCCTCCACTTTAAACTCCGACTTCGGTCTTGATTCATTGCCCGTCAACAAGCCTCATTTCTTCAATGGAGATAATTATGCTTATTGGAAGAATAGAATGATGTATTTCATTCAAACAAGTGACATGGGAGCATGTAATATCATAGAAGACGAATATATCAAACCTTCCACTCATCCAAGATTGTGGAGTGAAAGAGAGACAAGAATGTTCCAGCTCAACTCTAAAGCTATCCATATTATTTTTTGTGCTCTTGGACCGGATGAATACGAGAGAGTTTTATATCATACAACCGCCAAGGAGATATGGGATAAACTATAAGTCACTCATGAAGACACAATCGAGGTAAAAGAATCTAAAATTAGTCTTCTAACTCATAGCTATGAAAATTTCAGGATGAAACCGGATGAAGATATTAAAGCTATGACGGATAGATTTTCCACGATTGTCAATGGTCTCAAATCATTTGGAGAGATCATTCCAAATGAGAAGCTTGTGAGGAAGTTAGTTTACTCTCTTCCAAAATCTTGGCAATCAAAGAAGACGACGATCATTGAGGCTAAGAACTTAAAATCCTTAACTCTCGATGAGCTAATTGGTTCTCTCCTCACTCATGAAATGATGCTTCAAGATGAGGTAGACCTCGAAAAGAAATTCGAGATAAAGAAAGAGACGGAGAAGAAGAAGAACGTGGAAGTTGCTATCAAATCCACAAAAGATGAGAGTGATTCGGATGAAGATGACGAGGACAAGGAGATGGCATTATTTGCCAAACGATTCAAAAAATTGATGAGGCCTAACCAAGGAAGAAAATTCAAACGCAATGAAGGCTTCAAAAACGAACCGAAGGAGAAAGACCCTATCATTTGCTATGAGTGCAAAAAGCTGGGGCATGTCAAATATGATTTCTCTCTATTGAAGAAAAAGGGTCAATCAAAGAAGAAACACAAGGCTCATGTGGCTACATGGAGCGATGAAGAAGGTTCGATGAAGAGGAACAAGAAGTGGCAAACTTGTGCTTGATGGCCATCGGGGAAAACTCTCAGGTATCCTCTAACTCATTTGATTCAGAAGAATTATCTTATGATGATTTATTAGAGGA